ACGTCAGTGAACGAGGCAGTTTCCACACGAAAAAGATTTGCTATTTATTTCCGCTACTGCTGAGCGCGTCTACGTTGTTACCTTGTCTGCTGGAAGCACTGTTCCTGCGTGACTGATGTAGAGGGCTTAGACACACCCCTTGACAGGTGTGGGTCCGCCCCTCACATTTAGTTAGAGCTGATTCGATCCGAACACAATGACTTGATTGGTCGGCGAGGAAGAATCCTCAAGACATCTTCACCTCCCAAAACAAACTGTTTATTAGCCCGTCATTGATTTCAAAGTTAATTACTTAAAAAAAAAAAAGACTCGTATTTCTGACTGGAGATATGAAACATGAGTTTATTACTCTGAATCGGAGTGATAGCCGTGGGAGATAGAGACAGTAGCTGAATACAACTGGAAAATTGATAGGACATCACAGAAAGGAGGAGGGAGGGTGATGAAAAGCGACGGTGAAGGAGACAGTCCGTAGATGAGGAGAAAACGGTAGTGGGAGGTACACAAACGCGAAAAGGAGAGCCAAGTGGAGAGTCAAGGTGCTGGAGAGCAAGAAATGAGAGAGAAAAGATAGCGAAGCGCCTCATGCAAGTTTGGTGTTCGTGTGCTGGAAAGCTGCGTCAACTAGGGGATGATGCAGACCTGATCTAAACTGAAAAGCAGACGCGGCACGGAGGAGCAAGCTTTATTTTGAAGAGGAAGATCCTCCGACGACACGCATCATTTAGCCATCTTCCAAAGACAGGTATCAAAGAATTTACAAACTCTTCGGGCTTTTTCAAGCGAGACTTTCAATTCTATTCGACTGAGAGGCAAATTTTTCAGCACACCCACTGAAAAATTACTTGCCCTGATTCCCTAACTATGAGGTAACCAACCAGCGGTTCAGCTTGTTTGATAGTTGATCATTCAGAAGCTAAACTAGATTGACCCAAACCGGATTGTTCTGTGAATACAGTGTTATTAATACTGAATACAGATTATAAGCAAAACCGTTGGAGAGACAGTTTGGGAATAGATGTACGAAAAGGGCTTTGGCATTAAGAGCTGGATTAAAAGAGTAGAGATTTTGATAGTTTAATACGAAAGTGAAAGCTTTGAAAAACAGAGCAAGTTTAGAAAGGACGAGCAAAAGAAATGAACGAAAGATAGATAGAGAGAAAGAGAGAGAGAAAGAAAGAAAGAGAGAGAGAGAGAGAATTGAGAATAAATAAAAACAAGGGTGAAAAAGAAAGAAAGAAAAATTGAAGCAACGAATATATATATATATATATATATATATATATATATATATATATAAAGGACCTTTATGGACTGTCTAACTTTTTCCTTCAAGAACTGTTTTTAGATGAAAGATACATCAACAAAAGAAAGATCAATAAAAAACAGTACCAAGAACGACAAAAAAATAAGGACTTCTTCACTTTGGTTTTGGAGTTTTTGTTTTATTTACAACAAAAAGCGACAAGTGTACGAACAACAACAACAACAGCAGCAACAACAACAACAAAAGTCCCTAAATTACAGAGAAAAAGAAGGTAAAATGAGTACAAGAGAGTAAAAGAGAGAGAGAGACAGAGGGAGAGGGAGAGAGAGGGAGCGAGAAAAAGAAAGAAAACGAAAGAAACTAGTGTGGTAAAGAATCAACGCCGTAAGATTGGATTTTTACTCAAATTTGAAAAGAACAACTTAATAAAGAGTGCACACACAAGCGCGTGTGCGCGCTCAGACATACAGAGGCACACACACGAACACATTAACGTACACACATACCAGTAGACACATAGAAGTGTGGATAATTTCATACACATATGCTTATACCCATAGGGGACTATCCATTCTATTATAACGTAAATATCACGAGAGTTTATCATAAAATCCATATTATTCTTGAAAATCATAAATTCCTTAAAAATCATAAATTCACAAAATTCAACAAAAATTTTCTTGTGATAGTATTTTTGGAAACTATGGAGATAAAGAAAAAAATTACTTAAATTTACTTTACCTAATTTTTATTGCTTACATCATTTGATATGGTTCTTAATCAGTAAAAGACGAAAGCAAAAGAAAAAAAAAAAGAAAGAAAGTAAAGACACAACAACAATAAAAAAAAGTTTATAAAAATTAAGTTTTTCGCCCTAAAATTCCGTCCCATGAGACAATTTAAAACCCACAATTCGCAAAGATTTGCATCTGACCTGACGATAATCGGCCAGTGTGTAAACCTACCTCTCAGCTAAAACCCATAAAAATACAAATAAATAAATAAAAATAAAAAGGCAATAAAAAATCACTAGACATAAAGGACAACAAAGATATTATTTTACTTGACTCACAAGAAGACGGAAAGAAACTCAAAACGGAATAATAATAATAATAATAATAATAATAATAATGACTGCTGAAACCAATCCAAGTGAGAGTGAAATGTCCCCGAGTGGAGGTAAAGTTAGCGTCTCCGATCGTCATCACTCTCACCATAATCATCACAACAGTAGTAGCAACAACAGTAATAATAATAATAACAACAGCACCAATATCAGTATTAGTAGCGGTGTTAACATGACGAACACTAACAGTATCAACCATGGTATCAACTCTAGCAATACAAGTAGTACAACGTCTACGACAACTACAGTATGTAGGAAATTAAACTCCTACAGTATTGACCATATCCTGGGAATGAGAGGTCCCAAGTGGTCATCGAGAGCAGAGATTAATGTGGAATGCGCTGACTCAGCCACGAAAGGTAAGAAAGTCAAAAGTTTTTTTTGTATGCATTAATTTCTTTTTCAACTTATCAACTTTAATTACTGTAGTTTCGTTACCCACTATCGAAGTATCCTTTTTTTGATACAATTACTGATTTTCATGTTACCTGTATATATATAAAAAATTTACACGTGAATTTTATTTGAAACATTTCCAGCTGTCTCCTATCCCCTGTTTGGATATTGGATAAAATCTTAATTTATTTGCACAATGAATATAACTAACTTTAAGGTAAAATAATTCAACTTTATCTAATCTATATTACTCCAAACTTTATACATTGAGTGCATATTAGCATTTTATTTAAAAAAAAATATTTTAATATTTTAAAGCCACAGAAATTGCCTGTTCTTTATTATTGTGATTTTCAGTGAAATTCTATTTATAAAATAGACAGTAGTAGAATTTACGTATTAGGTTTAAAATTGTTTTGGTAAATTACTAAGTAAATGCTTAATCTGCCATTGGTACTACGGATTATTATCGCAGCAGTATTAGCACCGTGGGTTTACACTTTACAGACACCCGTTTTAAATATTACATCCATCCATCCATATATATATATATATATATATATATATATATATATATATATATATATATATGAAAAGTGGATATTGAAGTCAACACCTAGAGGCGACAGTCTGTTTCATTCTAAACACCAATCGTCAGGCCATTTTTTTATATTATTTATATTTACATACGCTCTATATTCCTGATAGTGAACACTTTGACCGATAAATATAGCATACCTTAAAACTATATTTTTATCATATATATATATATATATATATATATATATATATATATATATATAGAGTTCTTTTTTAACATTATATTTCATTTTGAGTATTTTTCTAGTTTTTATAGTGTAGATAAAAAGCTAAAAAACCGTTTTATTTTGAAAAACAAAAGGTCAGAGATATTCACAAATCTACTTAACTAATCATGAAAATTTAACTTCACACTTTCTAAGTAGTAATGTAAAATATTTTGGCAGATATTCAAACACTGTACAAATGAATGGCTAAAATACTACTACACTTGTTTTGGATGTATAACATGTTTGAAATGTTATAAGCTAAGTATGATTCGATTAGATTTAATAAAAAATTGATTATATTTGTCTCATGATTAAAATAAGATTTTATCATTTCCTTTTCTCAGCTCATATTTTGAATCGTTTAAAAGTGTATAAAAACATTGATAGGCAACAAATTTGTTACAGGTAGCAAACATCAGCCAAAGCCTGACTTTGCATGTTCAGTTTCAGGTTTCAGGTGAGTCAAATTATCCGGGAATTGGTACCAACTTAGCCTCTGAGAATCATTGACTAAGACGGAAGTTGTTCGAGTAAAGTAAATCTTAAATTGAGCAACGAAAAAAGACATCTATCTTCAGTTACAGGGTTGCTTTAATTTAATAGTCAGTCGGTGCAGGATAAAGATCTGTTGAACACCTCGGTAAGGATCAAACTCATTGTAGTAGTAACTCAGTAGTAGTAACACAGAGTTGAATCATCCACATGCTCTTCGTTTTCCATTAGTAAGGAGGAAATTCCACTCAGTTTCTTCACCAGAACTGTAACTTTTTGGAATAGACTCCGGAGAGGGTGCTTCCCCGATCACTATAATCTTAACTTCTTCATGGCTAGGGACAACTGTTAACTATCCTACATATCTTCATAATATACACTTATTACTACCTCCCGTTACACCCTTACAAACTTATTTAGTAGCCCTCTGCCTTGAGTGACTTTTGGGCCTTTTATTGGTTGAATAATAGAACATAAATATAATATTTGTATCAATAAGGAATAATGTCGGATCAAAAAATTCACTATATATATATAAACGACAGACAAGGTACTACGATTAAGCTTCTTATTTAATTTTTCTTGTGTTCGAATGAATGTTTTCTTTTTTGGGCACTGAGTGTGTAGAAACAGTGCAAATGTGCCCAAAAAGGTCTTGATTATATTGAAAGGGAAAATTAAATTTTTTAGTCGTAGTACCTTGGCTGCTGTTTTAATGAAACATGCATAAATGAAGGATTGCTGCCTAAATACACAATATATATATATATATATATATATATATATATATATATATATATATATATATAAACATGTTTGATTAAAAAAAGGTCTGTCGGTTTAATTTTTTTTATTATATTTTTTAATTTTTCGGATAAGGTAAATAGTAACCTGCTTGAAGGTGTGGATAAACTGTCCGTAATTCAAATTTTGTTTAGGTACTTTCGACAATTACAGTCATCATTGGTTCTTGAAATAAAATGAAATATTCCTTTATTTTTTTCCGACTCAGAGTTTCGGGGGAAATACATCCACTCGTCAGAGGAGCTGATTGTAAATTGAATTTATTTATTTTTATCTTTAAGGAAAAAATAAATTCATTTTTTAAATGAAGAAATAACAGTGGATGTAAATCCGTGAATCTAGAATCAGGACAAAGATAAAAAACATTTGATTTTATTTAAAACTAGGTAGAAAAAACTTAATCAGCTAAAAAAATGGTAAATCCACATAATATTTTAAAAAAAAAGAACGTTTGATGAAGTAAATAAATACATAAAATGAAAAAAAAATCTTCCAGCGAAATCTTTCGATTCGGATATTGTTTTTACACACGTTTCTATAAGGCAATTTTGAAAATTTCTACTTTCACATGTTTTTGTTTATATATATATATATAAATTAATTAATTAATTTCAAACACTTAAAATAACATTTTAAATGTTTGAAATTCATTAATGATTTTGCTCTGTCTCATACATAGAGCTCTCCTTGGAT